TAGACCATTCCTGCTATTCCCAGAGCATCCCTAGACCATTCCTGTCATTCCCAGGGGCTCCCTAGACCATTCCCAGGAGATCCCTCGACCATTCCCAGGGGCTCCCTAGACCATTCCCAGGAGATCCCTAGACCATTCTCACCATTCCCAGGGGATCCCTGGATCATTCCCACCATTCCCAGGGGATCCCTAGACCATTCCCACCATTCCCAGGGGATCCCTGGACCATTCCTGCCATTCCCAGAGCATTCCTAGACCATTCCCAGGGGCTCCGTCGACCATTCCCGCCATTCCCAAGGAATTCCTAGATCATTCCGGCCAGGTAGGGGGGCAGGAAGAGCCCGGCGGTTCCCAGCAGGCAGACGATGATGAAGATCCAGAGGAAGATGCGGTCGATCACCATGGCAACGTACTTCCAGTCCTCCTTCACCTGCCCAGGGAGAGGGGAGGGGGCTCAGCCCGGGAATGGGATCCATCCCGACATTCCCGAGGATTCCTTGGGATTAGGAGACCACCCGGGGCTTCCTCTGGAATTCCTGAGGGGGAGGAGTTATCCCATGGATAATTCTTGGGATATCAGGGTTTGGGGCTGTGGGTGTGGGAAGAGGATCCATCCCCCCATTCCCAAGGATTCTTTGGAACTGGGAAACCACCCGGGGCTTCCTCTGGAATTCCTGAGGGTGAGGAGTTATCCCGTGTCTTGGGAAACCCCTGGAATATCAGGGCTGGGAGCTGTAAGTGTGAGGAGGATCCATCCCACCATTCCCAAGGATCCTTCGGGATGGGAGCTGGAGGAGCCTTGGACTGACCCTGCGGAGCGGGAATCTCCCAGGAGGTGGTTGTTGACCTTCTCCCTGGATTTGGGGCCTCAGCCATGGATCCCTCAGGGAGGTTCCAGGGAACCAGCTGTGGATCCCTCAGGGAGATTCCAGGGAACCAGTCGTGGATCCCTCAGGGAGATTCCAGGGAACCAGTCGTGGATCCCACCACTGATCCCTCAGGGAGGGATTCCATGGATCCCAGCACTGACGCCTCAGGGAGATTCCAGGGAATCAGCCATGGATCCCAGCACTGATCCCTCAGGGAGGGATTCCATGGATCCCAGCACACTGATCCCTCAGGGAGATTCCAGGGAACCAGCCGTGGATTCCTCAGGGAGATTCCAGGGAATCAGCCATGGATTCCTCATGGAGATTCCAGGGAACCACCCATGGATCCCTCAGGGAGATTCCAGGGAATCAGCCGTGGATCCCACCACTGATCCCTCAGGGAGGGATTCCATGGATCCCACCACTGATCCCTCAGGGAGATTCCAGGGAACCAGCCATGGATCCCTCAGGGAGATTCCAGGGATCCCACCACTGATCCCTCCGGGAGATTCCAGGGAACCAGACACTGATCCCACCACTGATCCCTCGGGAGATTCCAGGGAACCAGTCATGGATTCCACCACTGATTCCTCAGGGAGATTCCAGGGAACCAGACACTGATCCCTCAGGGAGATTCCAGGGAACCAGCCATGGATCCCTCAGGGAGATTCCAGGGAACCAGTCATGGATCCCACCACTGATCCCTCATGGAGATTCCAGGGAATCAGCCACTGATCCCTCAGGGAGATTCCGGGGAATCAGCCATGGATCCCAGCACTGATCCCTCAGAGAGATTCCAGGGAACCAGACACTGATCCCACAGGGAGATTCCAGGGAACCAGTTGTGGATTCCCCCACTGATCCCTCAGGGAGATTCCAGGGAACCAACCGTGGATCCCTCAGGGAGATTCCAGGGAACCAGTCATGGATCCCACCACTGATCCCTCAGAGAGATTCCAGGGAACCAGTCATGGATCCCACCACTGACCCCTCAGGGAGATTCCAGGAAACCAGACACTGATCCCACAGGGAGATTCCAGGGAACCAGACACTGATCCCACAGGGAGATTCCAGGGAACCAGTTGTGGATTCCCCCACTGATCCCTCAGGGAGATTCCAGGGAATCAGCCATGGATCCCTCAGGGAGATTCCAGAGAACCAGTCATGGATCCCACCACTGATCCCTCAGGGAGATTCCAGGGAACCAGACACTGATCCCTCAGGGAGATTCCAGGGAACCAACCGTGGATCCCTCATGGAGATTCCAGGGAACCAGTCATGGATCCCACCACTGACCCCTCAGGGAGATTCCAGGGAACCAGCCATGGATCCCAGCACTGGTCCCTCAGGGAGATTCCCTGGATCCCACCACCGACCCCTCATGGATTCAGGCAGCATCACCCGGGCTGGGGTCCCCCTCTCCTGCCATTCCCGGCGTTCCCACTCACGGATCCGTCGGCGTCCTCGGCGCGCAGGTGGTCGGCGATGTACTGCACCCCCTCCAGCGCCCGCAGCAGCCGCGGCGACAGCGCCCGCCCCGAGCCTTCCTCCTCCTCCTCCTCCTCTTCTTCCTTCTTCTCCTTCTTCCCCTCCTCATTCCCCTTGGGGGCCACGCGGGGGGCGGAACCCCCGGACCCCTTTCCCGCCCGGCTCCCGTAGCGGGCGCGGGATTCCTTGGGGGAAACACAACCGGGATGCTCCTTCTCCTCCTCCTCCTCTTCCTCCTCCTCCTCCTCCTCCTCGTCCCACTTGTCATCCACGTCGGTCTCCAGCCAGCAGCGGGACGCGCTGAGCCGCGCCCCGGCCGGGTCGCAGGACCCCCCGCCGCCCTCGCCGGGCAGCGCCGGGAGCGCCGGCGGCCTCCTCATGAGGATCCAGCGGGGCAGGAACTCCAGGAAGACGGCGCGGACCCAGCGGGGCACGGCGTGCGTGCGCGGCGAGCGGTGGTGCACGTTGAGCACGAAGACGGTGATGATGATGGAGAGCGTGACGAAGATCATGGTGAAGAGCAGGTACTCGCCGATGAGCGGGATGACGAGCGAGGTGGAGGGGATGATCTCGGTGATGAGCAGCAGGAAGACGGTGAGGGAGAGCAGGACGGAGATGCACAGCGTGATCTTCTCGCCGCAGTCCGAGGGCAGGTAGAAGACGAGCACGGTGAGGCAGGAGATGAGCAGGCAGGGCACGATGAGGTTGATGGTGTAGAAGAGCGGCAGGCGGCGGATGACGAAGTAGAAGGTGATGTCGGGGTAGATCTCGGAGCAGCAGTCGTACTTCTTGGAGTTGTAGGTGCCCACGGCGTCGATGATGGCCCACTCGCCGCTCTCCCAGTAGTCCTTGAGGTCCACCTGGCGGTCCATGTTCTCCAGGTCGATCTTGGCCTTGTCGTAGGTCCAGGAGCCGAACTTCATCTTGCAGCTCTGCTGGTCGAAGGGGAAGAAGGTGACGTCGATGCTGCAGGAGCTCTTGTAGATGGCGGGGGGCACCCACTGCACCCGCCCGTCCCAGAACAGGTGGGCCTTGGTCATGTGCGTCACCGCGAACTCGCCGTCGGCGCTGCCGGGGGGAAACGGGGGTCAGTTCCGATGGGATGGGGTGGGGTGGGATGGATGGGATGGAAGGGATGGGATGGGATGGATGGGATGGGATGGATGGGATGGGATGGGATGGGATGGATGGGATGGGATGGGATGGG